GGGGGGGGGGGGGGGGGCAATGGCGCATGGGTTAAATTCTCGCCGTTGCTCGAGAAACGCTTGCAAACAAATGCTGGCTGTCCTATCCGTTTGCCTGCGTGTCTGCTTGTCCCCGATGTGTGCATGGCGCGACATGATGCAGGCTAGACAGGGACTACGGCACGAGACAAAGGCTACCAACACCATTGATCGATGGCACCATGCCACGGATCGTGGGTTTTGTAACCCAAAAGGTCCACAACGAGCGAGAGCACACACACACTTGGGTTATCGGTTCACCATGTCTATCATACAAACAACATGATTGGTGGTTGTTCTTATCGACGTAAGGCCGTCACAATACCCCAAATACGACGCGACAGGCGTTTTCAGGGTAATCTTTCGATCATGTACCATGATGACACCCCGACTGGGAGCTCGGTACGCGTACGTATGTGCAATTTTCGACATCGCCGTCAAGACTGAGAGGTTACCCGCCTGCGGAAACAATACCCTCCTGACACAACTTCTACAGCGTCCGTCGCCCTGTTCGACACATACGTCGAGCCTGGACGGTCAGTTAGCCCACCCGAGGACATTGTCGTAGTTTCCGTCACGCATATACGGCACCCCCCCTAATTCGGGACGTACGTCCACAATCGGGCGCAAACTCGGTGCTCCCGCCAAGGCTAGGGAGTAACGATTCGCCTTCGGGGGGGGGGGGCACCATCCAGAACAGTCAAAGGTACGGTCGGGATACATGCTCTCACCTAGCACCTTGCCCAAGGTGGGAACTGTGGCCAGGACCATGCCCATCACCATTCCGGGCTTGCTTGTTGGGTTAGCTGCAGGGAACGCCTGCTCGAAGGGAGGGAGGGAGCCAGCCACGCGGCAAACAACAACAGCATCCCGGCAGCATCGGCATCCAATAGCCGACAACAATCGAACCGTTTGCTTTCCGCATTGCCGCCCTCTCTATGCAGGAAGACATTGTCCCGTCGCGTGATCGACGGCGGAAGTACAACATCCGCGAGACGCCTCTTGTAGTGCGAATTCCCACCAACGGTCAAGATCGATAACAGCAGCCAAGACGGCAACTTATCGATGGATTCTTGCTGTTCATGCACACAATATTTAACGACATCACAAAGAAGGGGGCGTCACCACACCGACCGAACGCCGAAGCTGTTGGCGTTGTTGCTCATCCAAGAAATGGCGCTAACGCCTGCGTGACCCCATCTCACCGCACAGAAGAGAGCAAGAAAAAGGTCACACGGTCAAGTTCTCGACGGTGCAAAAAAAAAAAAAAAAAAAAACTTCTCACCGGAAGGCCGAGCATGACCCTGACTCCAGAGAACGCCACCGCCACGACCAGCCTCACGAATATCGCCAGGTAGATGGCCGACACGCACGAGATCTCGCCCACCCCGCCTCCCCACGGCATGCTCACGGCGGACAGGTAGTGCGCCCACCCCACAACCATGTCCACGAAATTCAAGAACCAGTCGGTCGCCTCCGACAGCATTCCGTCTGGAGCACACGGGCGGAGGGGGGGAGAGGTTCGGGGGTATGCTGGCTGCGGTATCGAGAGGAAGATCGGGACACGTCACATGCTTTTCGGCAATAGGCGGCGTGTCCTCATATACACGGCAGGGAAGATCCAAGACGGGTCTTGGCCATCCACGCTCGCAAAGGGCAATTAGTAACACAGCAATGATAACAACCTTTTTCTGTAAGTGGGAGGTCCGTGGTACCGTCGTCGCCTTACCGTTGGCCACGCGCTCCTTTCGAGACGGAACACGCGTTCTGCCTGTACTCACGATAAACGCAACACACCGCCAACACACGCCCGGCCACACTCTTGTGCGACACTTTCGACACGTGGTGTTGGGCGGGGGTGGGGGAGAAGAACAGCCCCGTCTCGGGGGGCAGGCCGGGAGTTTGCAGTGTGTCCGGAACGACGGTTTCTCTCCATTCTTGGCCAGACACGTACGTAGACAACAAGAGCGGTCGTAAGGAGCCGAAAGACCCTCCACGCCTCAGCCCCAACACGATCAACAGGGCTTGGGGGGGGGGGGTACGGAGAAACTCACCGTGACCAACGTCGCCCCCTTCCTCTTCACCCATCGTCGCCGCCAACACGGCCTCGTCCCCTCTCCCCTCCGCCACACCGTCCACTTTAGCGTCCTCCTCGCTGTCTTCGGTGTTCTCCGCCGACTCGAAGGAGCCGGAGGAGGAGGAGTACGCGTCTCCGACATCTCCGAATTCGTCGGCGGCGGTGCTGCCGGCGTCGAAACCCTCGTCCAAGGCATTGCGGCCTTCACTACCGCCGTCTCCCGCCAAAAAGAGTTCCAGTCTCGACCTCGAGTCCGCGAACCCTTGCATGTGCTCCGCCTCTGCAAAAGGGGACACGGGAATACGTTAGGGTGGGTGGGTTAAGACGTGGGCTTTGAAGAATAAACGCACCTTGATTTAGGATTTTGGGGAGTGTGTTATCATATCACAACGCTGCCAAGCCGAGGGGAGCTTGCAGATGTGCTCACAACACCGCCGTAGCAATCGACCCCGCGCAATAGCAGAGAGGACGCGGAATTATGTATAACGAAGAAGATGTCGGTGATGCCGAGTGGGGTTCAAGAAAAACAACAGTACCACCACGTCAACCACATCGCTGACATCCGAAACGGTGACCCTACACTAGTAGAGCTCAGTCAGTCCCCTAAAGCCAACCCCGCCCTCACTAAACCCGCCTCTCACCAAACTTGGCTTGGGCCACTGCCGCGCGCGCTTCAGGCAGTAGCAGCCCCCCCACCCCCGCCCCCAGCAGCAGCAGCAGCGCCGTCTTCGTCACCCCCTCCAACCCGGTCCAGAATCGCACTCCCCCAAGGAGGCGTTTCCGTCCGGGAGTTGCGGCGCCCCCCACCCCGCTATTGTCCGTTCCCGCCGCTCTCGACAGGGACTGTATGGCAGCGAGGTCGAAACCCTGCTTCTCCAGAGCTTTATTTCCGGTCGGCCGGCGGCTTGACGCTCTTCCACCTCCCCCTCCGGAAGGCGGGGATTGCCTCGAGGCACCGCCTATTTGGATACACGTTTAGGGGGGGGGTGTTGGTCGTCAAAAGTCGTTGATTGCTTGCCACACACGTGTTTTTGAGACACACCATCGCTCCTTCGTCTTCTTGTCGAGACAGCTCCGATCATCGGGGGCGGTCGTGGTCGTGGATGTGCGTGGGGGGGGGGGGGGGGGGGGGAGGTGATGAGCTA